AGAGCCCAGAGGTATGGAAAGATCTGCATTCAGCTAAACAAATGAATGCTATAGACACATAAGGCCAAAATAATCTCCCATGATGAGGTTTTTCTGTGACCTCCAGGAGTCCTTGACTTTCTTAGTCTATTATCAGGGTCCTGAAGCAACTAACTTTAAGTTCAGGGATAAAAATTATGCACTTCTCAAATATACTGAATTAAGCAAATCATAGACTTCCTGGCAGAACAGAAAACTGTCAGATATTTAGAATGGAATCCTTGGTGAAACACTCAAGATTTGCAAAGCTGTTTTATGTTCCTCTCTAGAGACTAACTTTACCAATCCAAAATTAATCTTTTCATTTCCATACTGGTGATGTTCCTGAAGTTGGATGTGCTTAGGTTTCTTCAAGTGGAATGAATCTCAGATGGCTCCCATTTCAAAAATCTGTACCAAGATCCTATTTCGATTTTCATGGGTTTCCTTTCACTAGGATGGGGGAGGGAGGCTCCTTGGGTAATGCTATCCTATGCAAATAAAGTTACCAAATGGTGGTAGTTGCTATAATGGAAGACACTTTCTCGGTTCCCATTTTGTCGCAGTGTCCTGAATTTACTCTTTTCCTGTGAATATTCTACTCTGCCCTATTGCACACCCCTTTGTCACGTGGATGTATGTTTACCATAGGTCTTTAACCTGTCCTCCCCAAGAAGATAAAGCAAACAGATGTACATGAAGCTATCTTATGCAGTAAAAATGTGAAATTTGAACATTGCTTTGCAAGTATTGTATAAATAACAAGTCTGTAAACAAATTTCTTATGTAAACTTACAGGGAAATAAAGACTTTTATCTGTTCAAATGAGAGCATGATGTTTAGAGATGTAAATAATTTAAAATAGCTGTTGTTTTCCTGAGTTGTAAACCCACTTTTGCTGAATGGATTTAAACACACTATTGAGTGACCAGAAAAGAAAAGGCGGACACATGTGAGAGACATACCGAGGACATTTTTATGAGTCATGCCACCTTAGAAAATAAAACCCCTTGTGGTCAAGTAGAACAAAGCCCCTATGGTATGACCAGACCTGGGATTGTAAAATAGAGTCCAGATTTGCAGCTGCCCTCCTTAAATTTAGTCTATAACATACTAAGGCCAAAGTAATTAAACATTCTAGATTAGTGAGGACAATTGTATGCCCAGTGAGAAATTGCTCTCATTTAATTGCCTCATAGGCTTGAGACATGCGGCACCACTGGCTACTGTTGGCCCCCATCCAGTTGTGTGTTCTGCAGCTACCCAACATATGGCAGAACCAGATGCTTCTGTTTATTATCAAAGCCCAAAGGTCATGGAAATTCTTAGTGTGGTGCTCATCCCTTAATTCCTTAATTTGGGTCCCAAACTGAATATCGACTGATGCCACATTTCTGAGGTCTTATGAAGGGAATTTTGCTTTCTATTCACTAACTCCATGAGAAGGCTTTTCAGTACTCTTTATTTTCCATTTCTGGCAAGAATTATGTCTTTGATATTCCCCCAAAGTGTTATTTATGTTTATGACATGGAGAAAAGTAAAATTCTAATTCATTGGACGAAGGAATATCCAACCCAAAATTTAACTTCAGACTTTGATTCTTGTGTGTGTGTGTGTGTGTGTATGTGTGTGTGTGTGTGCGCGCGCGCATGCTCGGGATTGAACCCAGGGGCACTTAACCACTTCCCTGGCCCTTTTGATTTTTTGAGACAGGGTTTCACTAAGTTGCTTAGGTCCTCGATAAGTTGCTGAGACTGGCTTTGAACTTGTGATCTTCCTGCCTCAGGCCCCTGAGTTGCTGGGATTACAAAAGTATGCCACCATGCTGGGCTCAGATTTTCCTTCTTTAGAAAGTACTCTGATGACTCTCATTAGTCAGACAGATAAATGTCCAGAGTCATCACATCTCAAATCATCAGGCACTTTTGGGGACTCCTTGCTACTCCCTGAAGCATAAGAGGTTTTACTGAAATCTACATAACTTGGAGCCTCAAAATTGACTAATATGGAGTCACCTCTAGAGTCTCCCTTCTGTTTCAGTGATTAGAATCTCTCCTTCTCTTGATTACTCTGTTTCTTGTTCTACCATCAAAAGAATTCCTTAAGGAAATGTAAATGTCTGGGCTTCCCTTTATTCTCTCGCATTTCTTTAGCCTTCAGAGTGCCAGGCCTACAGAGTTGCAAAGGGAGGTTATTCTATGCCCCAGTCACACTGGAACCTGCTCTAAAAAGAATGAAAAGATTGAGGGACTAAGTCTTCTCAGGAAAAATCATTAAATGTACTTTCCCAGTTTTACAAAAAAAGATGGATGCTCAAAGACAGATAGGAAATAGCTTCTGTCCTTGTTTTGAAGGAGACTAATTTCCCCTTCACACTTGATATTATAGTGTTTTTGTGACTGAACTTTTAAAAATTGTTGGCATTTTAAGTATGGTTTATCCCCTTACTCACCACTGAAGGTCATAGAATATGCTCTGAGTTGGAAGTTTTGTTTTATTTGTTTGTTTTTGTACCCAGGATTGAACCCAGAGGCACTTTCAGCCACATTCCCAGTTCTTTTTATTTTTTTTGAGATGGGGTCTCACTAAGTTGCTTAGGGCCTCACTAAGTGCTGTGGCTGGCTTTGAACTTCTGATCCTCCTATCTCATCCTCCTGAGCCTCTGGGATTACAGGTGTGTACCACCACACCCAGCCCCAAACTCACTTTTTAACAAATAGTTTTGATTCATTTTAAATTTCCTAAAACCACCAACTTTGTCAAAGTAGTGCACCCCCCCCCCCCCAATTCTTTTGCAGTACAGGGGATTGAATTCATGGGCACTCTACCATTGAGCTACATCCCTGGTCCTTATTTATTTAGATGGGATCTTATTAAGTTGCTGAGGCTAGCCTTGAACTTGTGATCCTACTGCCTCAGCCTCCCAAGTAGCTGGAATTAATAGTGTTCATTTTGATTCTTGATTTAGATGATGCCCGAATTAGTCATTGGCTTGACTAAATTCTGCCCACTCTTTCTTTAATCTCTAAAAGATATTTTGCTTTCCTGCAGAATCAATATGACAGTGTCAGCTTTCAGAATAGTTTTGGAAGATGAAAAATTATACCTTAATTTTGGCAAATGAAAGTTTTTCCAGCTGTTGCTGTGCAAGGAAGTGATTTAAGGTTTTTAGGGGTCTCTTGTGTCTCTTTAAGGCTTGGTGATTTTCATTTTGGAAAAAATATTTTTCCCTTCAGAAATTGTTGCTTGGGTGTTGCTGAGACAATATATCAATATACTTGCCTGAGAATTAGGACTGTGTCTTTCCCACATATCTTGGAAGGGAAAAGTTATCCTATTTATCTCCTAACAGCTAACTGATGCCTTCATACCACCATGTAACTGCACATCTTCGAGTTCTAATACAAGGAAAAATTTATTCTCTTCAAAAACATAATCTTCAAAGACTGTTCCGAAAGTTACTTAGCACCAGCACTTAAATTTCAAATTTGTAATTGACTAAATACATTCATACAGATAGAAAGGAAAATAAAAGTGAGTGGAAAAAAATACTTTTTGTTCCTGGAAAAAATAATACTTAAGGTCAGAACTGTTTAAAAAGAAAGCACTGCTAAAAAGTTATAGGATTCAGAGAAACATAGTATTTTTGTATAGTATCTTATAAAATGTTCAGACCTCTCTCTACATTCTCTTTACAATGTAATGTCTAAGTGACTGGTTTCCCAATAAACTAATTTTGATGCCTCTTCTGCTGTGTTCCGTGTGCTTAATTCAAGCAGAAACTTGAGAAGGGGATAATTTTTAGCAGAAATTTCTGCAAGCTAATGGTTTTCATAGAAGGGGAGAGGGCCTGTGTGGGAGGGGATAATTGAATTCCATCTGTATAGAAGTCCTGAGTCATCTATGACTCCAAATCATTGTACCTAACATTCTTATCCTGGTGGGTTGGGAAACTCCAATGGTGTCTCTTTATTGAGCCCACGATGATGATACCTTTACCCTGCCCCAACCGTCCTTTCTCTGGATTCTTCTTGCTTAGTTACATATGCCTTTTTCCTGCCCTCTTGCTAACATGTGCCCAATGACATACTTCTAACCTGCTAATATTTCTTGGAAGGTAAGCTCTCTTGCATTCTGATAATTGTCTATTTGATTTCAAAAGCCAGAGCACCCTGAGGCACCTCTACCTAGATAGGCATAGACTAGCCTTTAGCAGTTTGCTAAGATTCCATAATTACCCATGCATTTTACTCCTTCTGCTTAAAGAACTTAATGATGGATTCATTTAAGCAGAGGAGGTCTTTGCTAACTCAGAAGACTGAAAACAAAATTCCAGAGCAACTCCAGCTGAAGGTGATTTTATTTAGTATGATTTTAATTCTGTATCCTCTGTTTAGAAAGTACCTTCAGTTGTTTTGATCTGGGCACCCCAGTGCTCTTTAGTAGTGCTGGTGATGTGAATCACCAAGTAAACTTGCACCCACTGAGCAGCCATGCTGGGCTGATTTTCCGAGGGTCTGTCCCTCTGCATGTGGAGCAGATGACCACATGACAGATACTAACTTGAGTTCATCCCCAGACAGTGTTTCTACATAATCCAAAACTTTCATGGCATATGTGGAGATGAGTGACTGGGTTTGTTTTCATTCCATGATGAGCCAGTGCCAGGTAGAGCAGGTGTCTGTGCCTGGCCCCGCGAGTAGGAGCATTGCGTAGTTATGCTGAATGTCTGTGTGCCTAACATCTTCATCTCCTTTCCTGCACATTGTGCCTATCATGTTCCAAAATGTGAGATAGTGATTGGTTGTGTTCCAGTCTGTGTGCAGTTTCCTTGCCTGACTTTTTTTTTCTGTTTTTTCCTTTTCCATTTTCAACACCTTTTATTTGTTCCCACAATGTTTCTGCCGCGGGTTGACTATTAAATGTTCCAAAAACAGTTGAACTGACGTACATGTTAATTCTGCATTTTATGCTTTTCTAGGTCTCCAGAGAGAGCCCAATCCCTGTCCTGTAATTACTGTAGAGCACTTTAAAGAATCAGCGGGCATTGAAGGCCTTCCCCTGTATCCAGACCCCTCCAGAGTACCTGGTTCAAAGACTCAGAACAACTTAGAATCTGACTATTTAGCCAGAGATGGCCCTTCAAGCAACAGCTCTTTCCACAGCAGTGAAGAGGAGGGGACTGACCTGGAGGGAGACATGCTAGACTGCAGTGGGTCTCGACCTCTCCTTATGGAGTCTGAAGAGGAGGATGAAAGCTGCAAGCCGTCCCAGGGGAAGCCAGGAGGAGCCGTTGCATTTGCTTCAACTGAAATCTCTGCTGAGCAAGCAAAAGCAATGCAAAGTGGAAGAAAGAACCAGTTCCAAACCCTTACGCAGCCAGCCACCGATGGTTTTAGTGAGCCAGATGTCTTCGCCACAGCCCCCTTCAGGAGCTCAAGAGTTCTAGCTGATGACATGGACATTTTCTCCAAAGCGCCATTTGTCTCCAAAGGCAGTGTGGCTCCTTCCCAGCCAGAGGAGGTAGATGTGTTCTTGAGAGCTCCTTTTACCAAGAAGAAAAGCATGGAGGAGTTACCAGTTATCCAGAGCTCCTCTCAGGAACCACCTGCACAGACCAGTCTCCTCAGCCAGACAGGTGATGTCCCTCTGCTCTCAGGCCTTGAAAGAGCAGTGTACAGCTCTGTCCAAACTCAGTATTCCATAGCTGGTTTTGTACAACAGTCTAACCACCCCTCCCATTCTGTCAAAGCAGTAGACCATCTTGACAGCATCTCTCCCAGGGGAACCTCCCTGGAATCTGGGGGCCAGCCCAATGACAGAAGCAAAGGACCTCTGCCCCAGAAAGAAGCTGTCTCAGGCCCTATGGCTGGCAAACCATTCCGCCCCCAGTCTTTATCCAAATATTCCCGTCACTATAGCCCAGAAGATGAGCCAAGCCCAGAAGCCCAGCCAATTGCTGCATACAAAATTGTTTCCCAAACCAACAAGCAGTCAATAGCAGGCTCTGTTTCCATCACATCCCTTTCCTCCAGGACTACGGAACTACCAGCTGCTGATCCTTTTGCTTTAGCACCCTTTCCTTCAAAAGCAGGCAAGCAAAAACCTTAGGAGCAGTACCTGAGCCTAGGCCTCCGCCTCTGCTCCACCCCACAAATATCACCACACCACTCCCAGCTGAGCCTTTTCAAGAAGAAATAGTATCAGTTATTTCCATCCCCTGCATCAGAGCAGAGTCTCTTCAACTCAACAAACTCAGTTGTAGTGACACTTGGTTGAAGCCCTTCTAAGTTATGCTTTATTTTGTTTTTATTGATTTCTAGACTTTCACACACTTCAGTTTCCTTCCTAGAGGCCTTCCACTTCCACCCAGAACTCTGCTTCTCCCTCCATCCCTGCAAAACTGTTTTAATCCAGGAATATTTTACCCCAACCCCAGGGGCCATATTATTACTAGTATTAATTCCTGTAACTCCTCTTCTGAGTCATGTCCATTGAAGAGTCAAGATTAATCCCTCCAGGACTTAATACTCTTGGAAAAGGGAGATTTCTAGAAAAGAGCAATATAAAAATCCTGCATGTCAAGAGGAAGTATAATCTTGCAGCTACTAATCATTCCTGTAGAACCAGCAGCTCTTGAAGGATTCTGTGGATCTGTTTCTGAGTCTGTGTTTAAGCCAGGATGGCCCTCACGTGTGTCTGTGGGTGTGTGATGTGCATCAGATCCTTTCCTATGTAGAAATGCACGCAGATGGGAAAACTGTGCTCATTCTAATCATGTGAGCAGGGCCTTCCCACACTTTTTAAATTGGTATGGATGCACAGGCGCACACACACACATGCACAAGCATCAGAAACATTTTTCCTCTAGGTTAATCCTATCCCACCATGCCTACCTCCACAATCAGATCACCCTTACTCCCATTTGCCTGCTGACCTAACCAACTTGAACCCTGTTTTTATTTAGTTTTTTTTTTTTTTTTTTTTATCATGGCAAAATTGTATCCATTGGAAGATGTAGGGAAATCTTGCTGGAACTGAGGTTCAGAGTGGATTGTTTTTTTTCCAGAATTTGCTCTGTGCTTTTAACAAATTTCCTTTACCTGGTTGTGAAAATTTAATTTTTTAAGTATATGTTTTCCCCTCACAACAGTAGAAAGGAGTGCCTTGTTACAATTCCAGCCACTGGGTAGCTTGGACTCAGTGCTGTCATTATGGAATTCATTAATCTCTAGACTAGGATACAAAATTAGTTTGCTTGTTTCCCCTTCCCCCACAAATCCTTATCTCTCTCCACTACCTCTTGAGGAAATATGAACCTGGGACATGTAAATAAATTTGGGAGAATGAAAAAGCTGAATTAGCTAGCCATGAAAACTAAATTCTCTATTCTCTTTAGATGTTAAAGTAGGGCAGACAGGTGACTGGATTATGTTTTTGGAAGTATCTTTTATTTCTGGAAAGATCTGACTCATTCTTAGCTTTTTTCATACCATTTATTTTTAGTGCCTTAAAACCTTTGTCTCAATGGGAAGATTTCTGCTGAGGAAGCCCAATTTAATGGAAAGAGTCTCTGCATCAGTTTCAACCTGAGAGCTTCCTAAAACTTCTAGTAAATGTTAGTGATTTCTCCACTACTGGAGAAACTTGGAGAGTTGTGTACCAACCTAGATTAGTGATTTACAAATTATTGGAAGTTCATTCAAGAATCAAGCCTAAATGCCAAGTTCTACTGCGGTTGATTAGGTGTGCTATTCTTTCAAGGAGGTGGAGGTGTATACCTCGGTGGTAGAACATATTCTTAGTATGCCAAAACCCCAAGTTTGATCCACATCATGAAAAAATTCAAATTCAAAATCTTGATAATAAAATAAGAACAACTCCTTTAAAACACTTTTTGTTTTCTTAGTCTCCACCTATTTCAAATATCCACGTTAAAAGAGAAATAATTGGCACTGTGTTAGGGCTACTATCGATGATTTTTCGACTGAGGTCTTAACTGTGGCCAGAAACCTGTCTTTCACTTTAATGGATGCTAAGTGTTTAGTTTTAAGAATTTGCCTTCTCACAATTATTATTTCTGTCCCTCCCCTAATGTAACAATGTGTGCAAAATTGTATTTCCATTGAATAGCTTTGGTTAATGCACATGGAACTTTGCACCACAAACTTTTCCTATGGTAGTTATCAAGTGAAGCCCTCAAAGGCATGAGCTAGGAGGATAGGAATATTCAGAGAGTTCTTATCTGAAAAAACCTACTTGCCTGGCTTAGTGGTGTGCACCTCAAGTCTCAGCTACTGGGGAGTTTGAGGCAGGAAGATTGCTTGAGCCCAGGAGTTCAAAGCCAGCCTGGGCAACATAGAGAGACCTGTCTTTATTTTTAAAAAAAGAAAGGAAAAAAAAAGAAAAGAAGAGGGGGAAAAAAAGACAACAACTCTTTTAAAGTTAGAGGTCATTCTAACTCATTCTTCCAAATATTCAGGATTACCTCAGCCCTGCAAATGTTATTCCTTTGTTTATTTGATCACTTCCTCCTAATCAAGTGGCCATTTTAATTCTCAAGGTACAAATCAGAATAAAATCATGGTAATTTTATTATGTAGTTGAATTGTTTTTTGAAGGATAGATTTGCTCTTTTTCATGTTTGCTGTAGACCCACATGGGTGGAAACTACATGCCTTCTTCAAATAGGAAAATGAATGTAACCACATGCAAATTACTTTTTTCTTATTCATTGATGCCTGAAGAAATTTTGACTTGTGGATTACATTAATTACAAGTTAATAATTGGTGGATTCTGAATACTATGGTAGGGTTTTATTCACTTTTCACTGGTTACTTTTGGATGGTAAAGAGTAAATGCATCAAAGATTAAGTGGCCTTGCCAGAGGCCATCCTATATCTGGAAATCTGGAAAATACCCTTTTTAAGGGAAATCAGGAGTGTTCAGTGTGTTATGAATTAGTAGCAAATGCATGTTTCCAATAACTAGACTGCAGCAATTTAATATTAAAGAGGAAAAAGAAAATATATAGTCAACAAAGTACTGCACTTACTTGTTTTAGTTTGTGTTGTATGTTGTTTGCATTACACATTTGATATAGGAATTGTTGACCTTTCATTGCAGTGAAAAACAATGAACCAGGACATTTTTAGACAATGCATTAAGCCACAACATTTATTGATGACCTCTTAAAGAACACCTGTTAATTGACTAGCAGGCACTATTGAATTACTGAAGTTTTACTTCACCAGTTTCTTGGGCTTGACAGCCTTTAGCTCCAAACCTCATGGTTAGATTGGAAAATGAAGTGAACAGAATTTTATGCTGAAGCAGATGCTCAGCAAGACCTAAGGAAATGTAGGTCATAAACCCTGTTTTGGTTTGGGCTCATTATCAAGTTGAAAATCTCATGTGCAGACTAGTATGTATGTGTTTACTGGCCGGTGTTGTATCCGAGTTCTGGCAACCAAGATCTCTTTTTCTCAACTTTCAAGAAGGATACTAATACTTTTCTGGCCCATTATTTATTTAGTACATTTTAGAATATATGCATGTCTGTGTTTTCAACTGCTTGGTGGACATTTTGCTGATGCATAAAGAAAGCACATTTAAGTATAATCACCAGGGTAATGTGATGATAGGAATTCTGTATTTTTTCCTTAAGCAATAAAAACATATCAAATTACATAATATGTATGCATTATATCAAATAGGAAATTTTATTATAGGAAATTAGAGAAGGGTGAGACCCAAAGTTCTCCTGAGCAGGAAAGAAACAACTTAAAATGGAGTAATTTGGGTCTCTTCTATGTTCATTGGAATGGAAATTGAAGAATACATCCCAGTCAACTCAGAAATGGTTGCTGGTCTCATAGCAGTTTTATTGAAAAACCTGGAAGCCAAATTATTTTGATGAGAAAAGTTACCTAAGAGAGTTGCAGGAGACTGCAGGAGGCAGGAGCCCCTTGTTAATGTCCACAACCATCTTGAGTTCTGGTCTTCAGTCCTTGCCTGAAGGAGTGAACATCGAAGATTTTAAATGGCATCGTACAATTTGAATCCTTAGTTTTTCCTTGTCCCTGTCAACTAATACTTGTTTTGTTGTTTTTTAAACCACCAGAACACTTAAAAACTTGTTAATGAAAACTTCACTAAAGGAAGAATTTCATAATACTTAAAATATAATAAAAAAATATCTGGTTGGAAATTGTTTTTGTTCTGTCCCTGGAAATCTTCCTGGCTCACCTATCTTGTTCTTATTCCCACTTCATTTCTTCAATTGACATTCCCCTGTTTTCACCATGTGAATAAGTGGATGATGAGAGATGTGGTTGAATGACCATGTTAACATTTAGTTGCTTCCCTTGGAACTACTATAAATAGTTTTGTAAGTTTCAGCCCAGCCTGTGAGATTGTCACCAATAACAATGAAATGACTGACCTTACCCATTTCTCTTAGACTATAAGGAGAGTTGGCAGGACTCCAGCCTTATTCTGTAGAGATATGACCTTGATCTCCACCTTGATCTTTTGTGGCCCACAATGCTTCAGAATGCAGGAACCAGTTTATGTGTGAAAGGACTCCAGAACAGCCGGCAGAAGTGGTTAAATGTTAACTATATGTGGCTTAGTCCAATATTCTCATAACCCAGCAATCTCTATGTGTGACACAGTTTTGAGTTTATACTAACAATGTTCTTGAAATCATGTCAGGGTTACCTCATTGCATTGTACTAGTACCAGCTATACATGTTTAAGAATCTGTTTGAAGCCAAACATGGTGGCACACACTTATAATCCCATCTGTTTGGGAGGCTGAGGCAGGAAGATCACAAGTTCCAGGGCCAGCCTGGGCAGCTTAGTGAAACCCTGTCTCAAAAACTAAAAAGGGCTGGAGCTGTAATTTACTGCTAGAGCACTTTTCTAGTATGCATGAAGCCCTGGCTTCAATGTTCAGTACTGGGGGGAAAAAATCTGATTCCTTTTGGCAAGGAATTGCAGAAATAGGCTTTACCAACATCAGTTAAAGTAAGATGTGGGAGGAATGGAGGTGTAGCTCAGTGGTAGCAAGGGCCTGGGTTCAATACCCAGCATGGACCAAAAATAAGTGGAATGGGTTAGACTTTGGAAGGGAAGGGACACAATGCAACCTTTTCACTCAGAAAGGGCGAGTCAGTTGTATTCTCTGAGTCTACCAAAGAGTTCTTGTAGAGGAGTGTGAATGGAGTGTGGGTCTGTGTGTGTACATATATGTACATTCTGTGCTTTCTTCCATGGTGTTAATTATGGCCCTTAATGGCATCCAAAGAATACTGAGAAGTGATCGTCGATATCTGGCACAAGTAAATTCAGCTCCCTTTGCCCCAAACTCTCAAAGTCAGAACTGAAGTTGTTCTCAGTAGAAGTGAAGAAAATTGGCATTCATTGCCTTAGCCTCCTTCCCAAATAAGCATCATCTCATCTCCAAAGTAAGATTCAGTAGGGCTTATCCTAAGAACTTGTGAGTAGTGACAGTAGTGACCAGACACTGCAAGACTTGCAAGACATTACTCTGAGGGAACATTAAATATCAGTTTCTAGGGAATAGAAAACAAATTTAATAAAGGCCAAGGACCATGTTCGTTCCGTGGAGAAAAGCTGAACTCCCTCCACTGACAGTATTTGGAGTTGACAGAATAAGAACGTCTACCCCTCTCTAAGGAGTATTGAGGTCATCAAGCATCAGAAAACAACAATGTGCAAACAGTCTCAAAGACTGTGAACAAGGGAAAGGAAGGGGAAAGACCACAATGTCAATTTTAACAGTGCTCACAATACCTCTTATTTGCAGACTATTGGATTTATGTTGTTGCACTCTTGGTGTGATCTATCTCACGTATCTGATAGTTTTTAAAAATAATTGAGTTGGAAACTTTATTAAAATGAACCTAATGAAATGACTTATACTTTGTGTTTTTTTCTTTTTTTTTTTTTTAAGAGAGAGAGAGAGAGAATTTCAATATTTATTTTTTAGTTTTCGGCGGACACAACATCCCTGTTTTTGTATGTGGTGCTGAGGATCAAACCCGGGCCGCACGCATGCCAGGCGAGCACGCCACCGCTTGAGCCACATCCCCAGCCCCTGTGTTTTTTCTTAAGTGAGATCTTCGTGTGATTGGAGGGATCCACAGCCATCTTGCCCTACTAAAAAGCCTAGTGATATTTTTTTCCCCCCGGTTTGTCCTGGGTCTTATGCATACTAAGCAATCACTCTACTGCTGAGCTACATTCCCAAACCTACTAATAAATTTTTAGTATTCCTAAAGGAGGAACATAACATAGAGAAACATAGCATTAACATAGAGAAAAGTCTTAGAGAAATAAAGCTAGGAATTTTAAAAATCTACACTGTGATGGAGAACCTGCTTGCCTATTTCCTCCTCAAATTAAAAAAAATAACAGTGCTATCTAACTGAACTTGAGCTTAACATGATTCAGAGAGAGCTAGTTATAAGTTGTGTTCACAGGGATGGTGTTCAAAGATCCAGGAATCCAATCTATTTTGGTTCAATAAGACCATAGTTGCCAACTTTTTTTGAAAATGCAGCTATACTAGAGACTGAATAAAAACGGAAAGAGAATACTAATAAGACTGTCAGTGGGGCACATGGACCAAGAAGGGTTGATGAGCGAAACCCTTTGAGCACGGTTGAATGCTCAAGTAGCTGGGCTTAGGGGAGAAGGAGAAAGTCTAGAGAGGGAGCAAATGAAGGTGAAGGAATAAGATGATGAAAAGTACATGGATTCCACACATACCTACCACCCAATTTGTGGTTTCTAAATGCCCAGGTTCAAATGAGCCAGGTCCCCCAGGAGAAATGACTGATTTGAGGGCTAGAACAGGAAATGAATGAGATGAACCAGGAACATGGTGTAATTATAGTGCCAGAAAGTAAAAGAAGTACTTTAAAATAAAATGAAAGACATAGGGACATAAGAACCAATCTGAAAGAACTCCCGAGGTCAAAGAACAAGTTGAGCAATAAAATAAATGCCATGGTATGAAATTATAAGGTATAAAGTCAATAGCTATAAGCCTCCACTAATATTAAAATGATTATTGAATAAATGAAAAAAGACAAACCTAACATAAAATTTCAACTAATTTAGGTACATTCCCCACTACACAACTGGAATTTAATTCTAAATACTTTGAATGTGGGACATGCTTCCCAAAAGGAACATATGGACAGGAATTGGGGAGTAACTTCTCAGTGGAAAACCCTGACATACACCACCTCTGCCAGATGATCAAGAGTAACACTGCCAGTGAAAAATTATGCCAAAGTGTGTACCTGTGATGAGAAGGGCTCTCGGCTCTGTAGACATCCTCCCCAAATGCCTTTACCCCATTCTAACCAAGAGGAGAACATTAAACAAACCCCAATTAAGGGATATTCTACAAAGTACAGTACCTGACTAGCATCCCTCAAGACTGTTAATCATCAAAACTAAAGAAAGTCTTGCCCATGGCAGTGTTCACATGCACCTATAATCCCCAGACTTGGGAGGCTGGGGTAATAGGATCACAAGTTCGAGGCTAGGCCTCCACAATTTAACCAGACCTAGTCTCAAAAGGCAGGGGATATGGCTCAGTTGTAGAGCACCCAGTACCAAAAAATAAATAAATAAATAAAAAAAACCCGAAGAAAAGTCGGAAACTCCAACAGGCCAGAAGAGACTAGAAGAAAAAAAGTATCCCAAGTGGATTCCAGAGAAGAAAAAGAATACAATGAAATCTGAATAAACAGAAGTTTAGTTAATGTTGGTTCCTTGCCCATAATAAAATTAATGCTGGTTCAAAATAGGGAGCTACACAGCTTGCAGAGCAATTATTATTCAGAGGAGTAATACTGAAGTAGGAATTTTGCTTTTAAAATATGTATTCCAGATTATTTGAAAATGAGGAACATCCTGGGTCTGTAATCAGTGGTAGAGTGCATAAATGCTCAAGGCCCTGGGTTCAATTCCCAGTTCCTTTAAAAAAAAAAAAGAAAAAATGCAAGAGGAATGAGATTTTGTGGTTGCTTTTCCCCTCTTTCTGTCTCTTAACCAAGAAAACAAAGGCAGTGTAGAAAGGGCTATAAGTAATTAGAGTGATCATCACAGTATATTTGTTGTCTTTTGTCTAATCTGCCTCTTGAGACCTTCATCCACCTCTGGGTGAAACAATAATGTTGCCATACAAGGTTTCTCTGGCCCAGCCTCTCCACCTTCCCCGTGGAAGCTCCACAGACTGACATCTCCCCACCCACTCCTCAGATCACTCATACTTTGGGACAGATTCTGCTGTTACCTGTTCAACCACAGGCCTGCTGATTCCATTCTAGAAAACAGCACTCTAACAACCTTCCAGAACAGTTCTCAAATCTCAGCCTGCATCAGAAATCACCTGGGGCTCTTGTTAAAAATAGATGACTAGGTCCCACCTATAGAAACTTTGACTCTGAGGTCTAAAGTGGGGCCCGGAATTTAATAAGGCAGTTCCCATGCCCCACCACCCCCGTCCACACTTCAGAAAACCGAATACCCCAGGAAGGCCTGGAAGAGTACTTAATAGGTTTTTGTAGTTTGCTTTCGAAATTAGTCAACACTCATATTTATCCAGCGAAGGATAGCACTACACTAGCTGGGTCCCGTGTATGAACTGATTCAAGATGACCAAGTGGTGGGTCCACAAGCCCCACCTAACTAGAGGGTTAAAACAGGTCATCAGGCCTACCACAGAAGGGCAGCAGAAAGGCGAGACACCAATCAGAAAGGATGCTCTGGAGTCTTTGGGGACGGTCACTGTGCTAGGCCCAGAGGGCTAGCAGGGTGCTAAAAGAAGGAATGGGGCAGGTTTGGGGGTTGGTGAGGAGTAGCATTTTAACTGCTCGGCCAGGGCCAGAAAAGCTACCAGAAAGAACAGGAAAGTACGTTTCTGGGCATGCGTGCGAAGTACGTGCCTTAGAAGGCGCCCGCGCATGCTTAGCAAAACTTTCTACTGGACACCGCCTGGTTCGGGCTTATGCTGTAGGTAGGCAACAGGTGCAGAGGACCAAGTGAAAGCCCGAAGCTCTCACTCGCACAAGCGCCGCCCACGGCCTGTCGGGTGCGCTCTTCTAGGTGTCAGCCCAGCTCCCTGTCGGTTTGCGCCTGCGCAGAGCTTTGGGGGCGCGGCGAGGGAAGCAAGGCCTCTGCGACTGCGCATTGAAGGACTAAGATGATGGCGACGGCCGTGCGGCTGGCCTGGAGTTTTGCGGCTGCTGCCGCCGGGCGGCGCAGGCGGTAGGTGACGGCCCCGAAGCTCCGAATTGGAGTGCTGGTGGGTTTAGCTGGCGGACCGGGCACTGCCTCGCCAACCCTCTCTCTAGGAGAGGCGGGTAGCGCATCCGATGGAGCCCCTGGATCCACCCAGGTCGCCGCGGTCGGTCGGGGGTTCAGCCGGAAGACCCGTGGCTGTCGGTGAGGCAGCTCCGCACCTGTGGTTCGGGCAGCCTGCGAAACCTCGGCCAGGTGTCTGGGGGAGACTTCAGAGACCCGCTGTAGACACAGTATAGAGGAGCTGGCTTTAAGTCGTATTCCACCATGTGCATTCATTCCCTTCTCTTTCTTAAACACAAAATCGGAATGTCACACGAAGGGAAGAAAGTACTGTTTCATTTCCTCACTTTCCCAGCGAGGCCTAGAAAGGTCGCACAGCTTGTAAGGGAAGGAACTCCGAGGAGAATGCAGACCCCTGATTCTGCTACCACCACCACTACTTCAGCCCACTCTGTTGCCTTGTTTCTCCCTCTTCCCTGAACTCTGCCTTTGAGTTTCACTTCCCAGACACATCTGTCAACATCGATGAGATTTATGTAGATGTCGGACCTCACTTTACTTCTGGGGAAAAAGGCCTAACAGAATTTGACCTTCTGAGTATTAGACGTTTTAGTATTAATGGTGCTCATAAAGCTTAAACGCATTTCTTAAAAATAATGTTTTCCAGAACACTTTTTTTATTAGTTACCCCTTTTCTGTACCCCATATGTTTTTGATACCTTTCTTGAATAACTTAGTTCACCCCTGCTTTATTTTTTTTTGGATTTTAAACCTGTCTCAGTCAAAACATGCTTCTGATTTATCCACTCCACTGCCTCTTCTCAGAGTTGAAGGAAGAGAAATACTGATCTCCAGTCCATTTTCGAATTCCCGCATATTCATAGGGAGATTTAGACTCATAATAATTCATTTGATGAATTATACCAATAATAATTATGTAATTACAAACAATTGACATGATAACAGTAGTACCGTTTATTGAGCATTTATTGTCTGGCTTGGCACTGGCTTAAACACTTTACTTGCATGATATGGATGGTACCCAGTCTTTATAAGGTAGCTGTGAATATTAATCTCATTTTTGAAATGAGGAACAGGGGCCATAGTGTTTGCAGCTGAGGACATAAAATGAAAACAGTTTCTTTCCTTAATAAGTTTGTAGTTTAGTAAGAAGGACATACTAGCAAATAATGAGAAAGTCATGAGTGTTGTAATGGTCCTATAGTTCAGTATGGTGACAAACCTTGTTAAAGCCTTTGGAGTTACCATGGAGTGTGACAGGCCTTCACAGGTTCCTTGGTTCCCCATTTACTGTTGTTTCCATGATGTCACTAATGCTTATTTTGTTCTCCTGAACCCTCAGTGTCAGTCCTTTTACCTCTTGAGTGGTTCCTAAAGAAACTCTCCATGGGTAATAGGTCCACAACCTTCCAGTAAAGCATTTTTTTGATTTTATATGGCACTTAAAGATCACTGAAGGTAGGAAGAAATTTAGGTTATTTGTATTCAACTTACTTGGTGCTCACTCTTTATGACAAGCAAATTCTGGTTTTATAAGGGAAAAATGAAGTGCAGCCCCTGTTTGTTACTTCTT